ATCACAGCTGTGGTCTTCCTGTGGGGTGATTTCCCTGCACTAATTCTCCATACAGGGGATCTTTCAGAATCCAACCATCGGCCATTCTCACGACATTCCCAAGCCAATGTATATGTCACTGTTTCAATAGTGTATACATGCTAGAAATTCCAGCACATTCTAAGACTGCGCTATTTGGAACTTTGTCATACCAGGTGATGCCAAGAATATCCTGGTTATAGGCATCCGTCTATCTCCACTTCAAGGCAGGAGATGAGAGGGAGGCATTGTCTGTTTCAGTATGATTTTAATATCAGTGGTGGAGCAGTGGTAGTATTCTGCTGGTTCTTACTGGTTTGGGCAAACCGGTAGCGGCTATTGTTGGAGGCTCCACCCACCTGCCCCAATGTAATGCATGCACCTTCTGTGCATGCGAGCGCATTCACATTTACGAACCGGTAGCAAAGGTACGTGAATCCCACCACTGTGGTGGAGGCTGCTGAGTGAAACATCCTTGTTATGGGAACACCAGTGGTGGGGTTCTCTGCCCTAATGACCAACTGGGTAGGCATGGCTAGGTGGTCATGTGACTGGGTGGGTGTGGCCAACTTGATGTCACTCACATTGAAAGGTGCCTCATCTCGCCCTGCCCTGCCTTGCCCTTCCCCTCCCTGTCACTCTTTGTCACGCATGGCCACTCACCTCCTCCGAGCGAGTTGTTTTCAAACAAAAAGAATTCTCGCCTTGTGCAAATACATAACAAACATCTTCACTTCAGGTTTGATGCATCGTGCAAAGTATTACTGCTCATTCTAGTCTCCTTTCCTACTAACAGGTCCACCTCAGATAGTAATTTTCTACAACCTCTCTTGTCCTTTGCATCATTCAATGGGAGAGTATTCTGAAATGTTATCTGTGATGTGCGCAGCTTTACAAGTTTGTTTCCTCCAACCTTGTTTTCACATGCAATTCTTACAAGTTATTTTGACATTCCTTCCTCCATTTTAAACAAAGTAGGGGTTAAGGTGCTGGCCTAGAAACCAAGAAACTCTGAGTTCTAGTCCTATTTTAGCCTTGAAAAAATGGCTGAGTGAGTCACTCTCTCCCCACCCAAACCACTTCTTAGATTGTGGCTGTGGGGAAACTAAGAGGAGGAAGGAATATTAGACAAGTTCTCCACCTTGAGTTTCTTATAAAGTAATAAAGACAGGATAAACATCCAACAAAATAAATAAATGATTTGTGAGAATGATGTTCTTCTAAGTGAGAAGGAGGAGTGCTGACTGCCTTGTCACATTCCTTAAACTTTTGCATTTATTTCATTTTAATCCACTTTATTTTTCTCTACTTTTTGGTTTATTCTTCAATGATGGCATAGCCTGGAGAATTCTTACCTGTCACACATGCCAGGGGCATGTCAGAAAACATCAGGTAAGCACATCCATGTGATTGACAGGCAATGGCAACCGAAATCACTAAGCAGCTACATTAAGACATAAAGGTGGAGGCACCAGGATGCAAAAATCCGAGGATCTCAAGGAGAAGAGGGCTGAGACATCCACCTTTCATCAAACTGGCACAACCTGGTCAGCTAGAGAAAGATAGGAAAAAAGATAGAAAGGTCATCCATGCCTCTTTTGTGTGCTTTTTCCTTTGGAAATTTTGAGATTGTTTCCAATGGACAGTGCAAAAATTGCCCCAGCTCTACAATACTGGTGATCTTTTTAATGGTCTTTCACTTTTAATCTAGAAAAGTGCTGACAGGATTTAAAAAGCAAATTCAACCATGCCCTTTTTTTCCATTTAATCCATTTTGCCAAACATCTACCCAACTCACAATAAAATAACGCTCACAACTCACAATAAAATACCACTGTTCCAATATTTGAGGGCTCCTACAAAAATGAGGGAGTCCCTATTTTCCAAAGCATCAAAAGACACAACAAAAAACAATGGATGGAAACTAACCAAAGAGAGAAGCAATTTAGGACTAAGGAAAAAATTCTTAAAGATGAAACCAATCAACCAATGGAATAGCTTGCCTTCAGAAGTTGTGGGTACTCCATCACTAAAGGCTTTCAAAAAGAGTGAGGGAAGTACACCTAAAAGTTCAGTGCCAGGAACCACTAAAACAATGTAGAAAACTTAAAACACCCATTCCTCTTTTTAAAAAAAAAGTCAAAGGAAGAAGAATCTTGACAGACTTGAACACTGAGCCCCTTCTAACAAAACTATTACAAGGGGCAGCATAACTATGACTAACTAGACTCTTTACTCTGTCCCCAAATTTTCATTTCTTGGTGCAACTTTCCAGGTCATTGGCAATCTTAAAACATGTGGACTTCAACTCCCCTTATTCCCTAGGAACTAGTCAAACAAATTTTGGAGTTGAAGTTCACTTGTCTTAAAACCCCCAAGAATAAAAGACCCTGTGTAGGATGTCCAATAAAAACCCTCAACTTCTAACAAAATGTCCTCCAGAGGAGAGGGCACTTCTCAAATTTCTGACATTGTCAGAATGACTTGGGTTTGGTTTTTGAATCTCTTGCTGGGACTTTTTCTGTTAAATACTTTTAGAAAATCCTCTTTAAGTCCATGGCATTTGATGGCAAGCAATGTCAAGCATTAATTAATTGTGAAGAAGGATTTACGTCCAAAATAGTGTGATAGTGGATTCCTGCATTGGGCAGAAAGTTAAACTCAATTATCTCCATTTTATCTTATTCTTATCCTTTCCATCTCTTCCATTCAGTAATTCTAAACTGTCAGTGTGATGAGGTGACCCCCAAAATATTGGTTAGGACAGGGGAAGACCAACCAGTCTCCGCCTGCAGTTTCCGTTCATTAAACATTTTCTTCTGGTCTCTTCTTTGTTGAGCCTGGTGCTAACCCAGGCACAGAAAAATAAAACTTCTGGAGGACTTGCCTTTGTTAATGCATTGAGAGTTGCATGCTTAATTTTTTTTTTTAGAATCAAATTCTTTATTGGCCAAGTGTGATTGGACACACAAGGAATTTGTCTTTGGTACCTATGCTCTCAGTGTACATAAAGAAAAATAAATTAGAATACATTCATCAAAAATCATAAGATACAACACTTAGTGATAGTCATAGATTACTAATAAGCAATCAAATCATACTAGGAAACAAATAAAACAATATAAATTGTAAAGATATAAGCAACATAGTGATAGTCATAAGTGAAAAGAGATAGGTACCAGGAAGGAAGAGAAGAAGAATAGTAATACAATCTTAGTATTTCCTTTCTAGTTAAAACATAGTTGTCTGATGCTTCCTGGGACATACATGACCCCCTCCGTGCTCTGGAAAGTATTGAGCTGGAATAGAATACAATTAGATTTTTCTTAAAAAAAAATGAAAAACAACAACAATGAAATGTTTTTGAGTTCACTGCATTCTGGTTGCCATAGAGATGGGGTGCATATCTGGGAAGATTGCAGGATGACTCCTGCTTTTCTTCCCCTCTTCCCCAAACAGCATGTTCTGCTGAATGTAGGCAAAGAACTGGTGCACCATACAAAATCTAACCTGTTTTGGATTTGGGATTGAATTCAATCTGGTGTCTGAATGCCGTTTGGAAAATCAATCCAGTTTGATTCAGGCATCCAAAAAACATTGTCAGATCAAACAGAATTAATTTGGGATAGATAGATAGATAGATGATAGATAGATAGATAGATAGATAGATAGATAGATAGATAGATAGATAGATAGATAGATAGATAGATAGATAATGTTTCTGTGCATGCTTGAAGAACTTTGCAAGTGTCCAAAACAATTGAAAAACATGCAGGTGGATTCAATGACTTGAATTGAACTGCCAGTCTAGGCATTTGCTTAAGTTGCCTTTGGATGTACAGTCAAGAAGTTGAATATTTGCAGAGCAAATAGCATCATTTTTAGAACCTTACAGAAAGTTATAGATTCCAGCTCGAAAACATTTTGCTGCTTGAAGGGGAATCTAACTAGTATTTCACCATCACTAGGTCCATTCAGACACATTCATGCACTGAACCATCCTCTCTCAAACAATGGTTTTACTCTGCTGGGAAGCAGAGGAGGTCCTGCTCTAGTGTTGCCATGAAACCCAGGCACCCCAAGTTTAGCATGGAGATGATAAGATCTTGGTCTTTGACTTTGAGAGAGACACTTTCACCTTTGCAAAGGATTGGATTGGATTTTTAAATTTATAGGCCGCCCAATCCCAAAGGACTCCGGGCGGCTTACAGAAAATATTTTTTTAAGAAAAATATTAAAAACAAACAGAAGAAAGGGGCTTCTTTGCCCACCCAAAAACACAAATCACCAAGTAATTGGCAAAGCAAAATGCTTTTTAGTAAGGAGGGCTAAGTCCTTTTATAGAAACAAATGATACATACATTTGTGCATGCAATACGTCAGAAAGCAAGTGATCAAAAAATAAAAGGCATCGATTACAAGTGAGACTTGAACAATAGAAAACACTGATTCTAGATAACATTCTACAAGCTGCAAATTTATGGGTTACATTACTGTTTCCCACCTGGGTTTGTATCTTAATGCTTGCATGTGTATTCAAGGTCTTTCAGAATACTTTCTCTATTGTTTAGTGCTGAAAAGACAAGTTCTTGCGTACCAAATGAAGTGGCCAAATAGGAAAAAGAAACATGTTTTCCTGATGTTACAAAAAGGAAGCATTGCCTGCCAGGTTAAAAATGCTAATATAAACCTTTTGAAAGGATGATGATGAAGCCTAAAATTCATAACAATATTAGGACTGAATCTTGGTCCATTTGGCTGACTATTATTTACTTTGATTTCTGGTGCCTCGTCAGGGAATCAGTAGAGAATAAGGAATCTTTCCTATTCAGGCCCTTTTCTGGAGATGCCATGGGCTTGTCATCCCATACACTAGTCTAAGAATGCAATAACATAATCCTTGCTTCATCTCCTCTCCTCTCCTTGTTAGAAGAGAAAAGTCTCAATTGGAACATTCAGATAAATCACTCAACCACCCTTCTTCAAAACATCTCCTTAATTTCCAGAGTATCTCCCATCCCTCCACTCAATATACCCTGTAGGGTACCCTGTAGAAACCCATAAGATTTCCTCTTTTGCAGACAGCTATACTGAATTTCATACCAGCCCAGGATATAAGCCTTCCTTTTTTCTGCAGTTAAACTGATGCTCAGCTGGATTTCTGACCACTGGGAAAATATCACATCAGAAGAATCTGTCTATAGATCTCTGCATGCAATTATATCAACACTGGTCTCTCTGCAGCATACAGGACTCAATGCAACAATCAGAAGTGACTACTGCATCACTCCATCCTGGAAATGAAGAGTCAGATAGTAACTTGAAATGCCAACTTTGATGCCAAAGAGAAAGAGAGGGAGGAGGAGAGATTAACAATGTCAGAAATATTCATATCTCATACCAATTTCATGCCAATCCAGTTAAGGTTTTAGATGACATCTACATTTATTAGCATTAGCATGGGGAAGACAGAAAGGCCATGAGAAGTCCATGGGAAAAATTGTGGTAAACCGTCTCACTTGGCCTGTGATATGTCAGGAGGTTGATTTACGTATAGCAGTTGAAGCTGCCATATCTAAAGATGAAGCAGGCATGTAAGCAAAGTGGATAAAAGGTAGAAATCATACAATCATAAAAATCATAAAAAGACTGAAAGGGATCTTGAAGGTCCTTTAGTCAAACCTTCTGCTCGAGATCCAAGGTCCTTATACCATCCCAGAAAAATGGACAGCCAATCTTTCCTGGAAAACCTCAATTGATTGAGCACTCACAACTCCAGGAGAGAAGCTATTCCATTGATTAATTGCTCTTACGGTCAGGAAGTTTCTCCTTAGTTCCAGATGGAATCTGTCTTTTAAGAAACTTCTACACTGAGCTGTGGGTCATTGGCTAAGATACTTAGCTTGTCAAACAGAAAGGTCGGCAGTTCGGCGGTTCAAATCCCTATGTAACAGAGTGAGCTCCCATTACTTGTCCCAGCTTCTGCCAACCTAGCAGTTCGAAGTCATGTAAAAATGCAAGTTAAAAAAAATTGGGACCATCTTTGCTGGGAAGGTAAAAATGTTCCGTGCACCTTCGGTATTTAGTCATGCCGGCCACATGACCAAAGAGATGTCTTCAGACAGCACTGGCTCTTTGGCTTTGAAACAGAGATGAGCACTGCACCCTAGAGTCGGGAACGACTAGCACATATGTGTGAGGGGAACCTTTACCTTTACCCTATGTTTCTTGTCTGCTCTCTGGAGAATACATTCACTTGCTCATCTCTGTGACTGCACCTCAAGTATAGGAAGACAGCTATCATGTTACCCCATCAACAGCTACTGGACTTGAAAATTAACAAAACAAGTGTAGCTACTAGTCCTGTTGATCAACAAAGCAAAGAGTTTGGGGGAATAATAGGGGTCCTGAAGGCTGCTTAGTCTTTGAGGTGCTTTTGGATCCAGGCTTGGCAGCTTCTGTCCCTCTGGATAGTGCCTGGAAGCCTAATTGAGAAGGATATGGATAGGTGTGGGTGAGTGCATGGGTGCCTGTGAGAAAGAGCAAATGTATCTATTTTTACCAGTAAAGTTTTAAATTCCCCTGAGTCTCATGTATTCCAAAGAACCAGTTGTGCCTCAGTGTTTGGTTGAAAGTGATTAGGGTGTGACTATTTTTCAGGGCTGCCGCTGTGAGTGTGTTACACACCTGAGAGTGTTTGTAAACAACACTAGTCTACACTGGAACAGGAATAATAGCAATGGACTAAGCACCATTAAATGTTCAAAATAAAATGTCCCAAATATATAAACATATATTCATGTATTCTGTTAAACGTCACAAGGTTCTTTTTACTAGAGCTAAAAAGTCACATTTGTTTTTAAGATTGGCTTTTGCATATGAGATGCTCTGCAAGACTCTCACAACTTTTAATCAATCCTTCAGTAATTATTGTTATTTATTAAATTTGTATACCCCCTGTCTCACTTTGCAAATAACCCAGGGTGGTCTAGAATTAAAATAATAAGTATTAAAATATTTAAAACATTAGATACAAAGACAATAAGCAAAAGGTAAGATCTGTACAATAATAGCATTTTCTCATTAAGTCCACCTGTTAGTCCACCAGACATGGTTTGTAGAAGTATATATAGACTGGACTGTCACTCCCAAAAGCAAAGTTCTCAATTCCATGCCCTTACCTATGAATGGTCTGCTGGAGTTGTCTCCAACTTGTGTCTCCTGAAACAAAAAGAGTCAAAAGGTCATTAGCCTAATAAGAGAATAATGGAAGGCTGAAAAGCAAAATCTAACATACTGTATGTATATTTCATTATATATGTCTCTGTGTGATGATTCTGTACCATCAAGTTGCTGTCAAATCTTAGTAACTACCTACATAAAGATTTCCCCCAGGATGATCTGTCTTAAACATGATCCTTCAAGTCTGCCAGTGGCACATTGACCAGGACTCTAACTGACTCCATCCACCTTGTGGTTGGTTGTCCACGTCTACTCTGTCCTTCCATGTCTTATCTGTAAGAGCGTCTTTCTCAATGGAACACCATTTTCCTTCTTTCATAGAACATAGAATCATAGGGCTGAAAGGGACTTTGGATGTCTCCAACCCCTGCTCAAGGCAAGAGACCTTCAACCAGCTTAGTCAAATGGTTGCCCAGTCTATTTTTGATCACCTCCATCAACGAGACACCCACAACTTCAGGAGACAAGCTATTCTGTTGATTAATTGTACTCAATTCTTTTTTCTTCTATGTTGAATTTGTCCTTAATAAGCTTCCACCTATTGATTCTTGCCCTGTTCTCTGGTGCTTTGGAAAATAAGTCAATCCCCTCTGCCCTGTGACAGTCCCCCAAGCACTGGAAGATAGTTATGATGTCCGGTAATCTTCCAATAGGTGAGATAAACCTAGCTCCTTGAACCTTCACCATGTGTTTTAGCCTCCATAACCTTTATCATCTATGTTGTCTTCTTCGCTCTTTCACAATTCTATTTCCCTGAGTGTTGTATAATCTGCTTGCACACCTCTCTATACAGGGGAGCTCTTTACCTGAGAAGAGGCACTCACACACCAGGATTAACTTGCTTAATGTTCACATTTATTTAGGATTTGGGTGTGTGGGAGAGAGTATGTAATTCAGTGTAATATACACATTCAGTCTGTTTTGTTAGCTTATGGTTCATATTGTACAAACTTAGAAAATGGGTTAATTCAGTAAGAAGATTAAAGGTGTTGTAAAAACATCACCCCTTCTCATTATATGTGGATTCTGGAGGGTCAAATTGCATATTGTTTGGCACTTGGGGATTTTTCCTTTCCAAGTTAAAACAGTCACTTTCGAAGATAAGAATGAGAAGGAGGTTAATTGATTCCTATTTCTGGCTGAAAGCAGTATGGATTTAGCTAAGAATTAGCCCCACTAAATGTAATTTGATTTATTTTAGAACCCACATGCATAGAATTTTACTTATTCTTATGAAAATGTCACTTACCATTGCCATATTTTTGGGAACATCCTTTCTTATGTAACTAGCTATGTTAATTTGAACTTCTTTCCCTGTTTAGCAGTAAGAGCAGCATATGATTCAAGGCAAGGATGTTGATTTGAAATCTGCATCCGTTTGCTTCAACAAATGTCATCTCCTCCCTCATTTTGTGTTTGTCTTCATGACCTTCAATGAAGCATTATATTTCTAGCTGGTTTTAGCAGTGCTGGAAGCAACATGGGGTGGGGAGGTATTAAACAAAATAGCAACAACAATTTATGGTAGCTAATTTGCTTCAGTCATTGAATTTTACTCTACAAGATCAAATATCATCGATCCCTTGGGATTCTGGTTGTTTGCATGCACAATGTAATGATTAGGAGTTCTTTAAAATAAGATATTTTTTTCTGGAGAATATTTATGGAGAGAAATAATCCCAGGAGGCAGTAAACTTGGATTAAAAACTCAGTTTTATTTTGTGAAGGGCAGAGTTGCATATAAAATTCACTCCTTGATAATCCTAGTATGATTTGGTTGAACTATCCTGATAAATTCACCACGAAGCACTTCCTAAAGATTCATTTTATAATTGTATTTATATTCTTTTCAAAAAATTACATGAAGTAAAAGACAAATCTAAAGAAAAAAAGGAAGAAAAAAAGATGCAGGAAAAGAAAAAAGAAAGAAAAGTTATGAAATATAATCACTTCTGACCTTTCCTTCAACAGATACAGTAATTAAAAACTTACCATCTTCTCTTAGGTGCTATACAAATCCCTTCAACCTCACTTAGTCCACATCTTTTTAATCCTCAGATCCATAAATCATCACATCAATATTTTTTTTCTTTCAGCAAAAAGCCCATTTAAGATTTCCATACTTTCTGAGGATTCCAATGCAATTAAATTCCAATACAATTCAAAACTGAAGGTTTCAAAAGAAACTAATGTATTAAAATATTAATAAATTGCTCTTTATAATTCAATCTCAAAGCATGATATCAGTGAATATAAATGAAACAACCAGATGAGGCTAAAAATAATTGAAGGAACAAAGTGCATTTGGGAAAACATTGCATATTCAAATGTGTATTTTAACAACTACATACATATCAATATTTGTGCTGACTTTGTTAAGCCTAAATGTGCAGCTTCCAATGAATATAGGGTATAAAATATGTACAAACAGGTTAAAAAAGGAAATATGGGTTGGAAGCGTGTGGATTTGTTGATTCTTATTTTCACCAATTATTGTCCTTTTCCTGAGAATTTCAATTCCTTTGCATGCTTTAGTCATAAAATTCTGGTTTTTTAAATATGATGTTGATCAGGACAAAAATAAAAAAAGCTAGGTTTTAATAGTAGGCAATGCATATGACTATAAACCAGTCTTTCTTAATCTTGACAAATTTAAAATGGGTGGACTTCAACTGCCCAAATTTCTGAGCCAAGGAACATAGACTAATAGGACTGGAAGGGATCTCGATCTAGTTCAACCTCTTGCTCAAGGAAGGAGCCTTATACCATCCCAGTCAAATGGTTGTCCAGTCTAGTTTTGAAAGCCTCCAGTGATGATAGGGCACCCACAGCTATGAGTTAGTCTTCACCCTTCATAAATCTGAGAGTTGAAGTTCACATATCAGTTCACACAAGTTGCTACGGTTGAGAAACCCTGGTATAAACA